TAAAACCGGTATCCAGAAAAAAGTGAGGACTAAAAAAAAAAAGGTCCGAAAATGGCAACGGGTCCAAAAAAATCGTTGGGGGTCAAATTTTGCCAGGGGGGGTCAGGATCAACGAGATCAGACTATGTCAGAACCTATGTCTATGACAAGTGTTTTAGAAAAATCTGCCATAAAATGAGTGTTTTTATATAGGTTATAACCATATAGCATTTGGGTATGTATTTTATAAAGAAATACGTGTTTAATATGTTTGAATCACTCAATAATCTCTCTCTGACAATTTTTCTAGAAAACGTTCGGGATAGAAAATCTATTCTATGAATTCCATTGGTACCCCATAATCTAATAAATAAATGAATTTGAAATTATGCCATTATTAATTATTAATGGAATAATTTGAATAAACAATAATTGGTCAGTGTGTTTTTAAAAGTACCTCGTATGCTTAGTATCCTTTGCAAAACATTCGAATTTCATTATAACGCGTGAATCAAACGTATTGTACGGTTTATGATGAAACCTTTCAAATTCATTTATTTATTAATCTGCTGTTCTGCTGCCCAGGAATAAATTTTATGAAGAAAAACAACAAATATATTTGAATTCTACAGCACATAGAAAAGAGAATTATTAGACCCTGCGGATTCCATTGGTCAAACGTCAAACTACCAATAGATTGTTTCAAATGTATTGGTAAATTCAGTACAAACGGCACAACGCAAGTCGCAAGTCACTTACGTAGTATTAGTAAACGAAATTCCGCATTTGTACTGAAATTACCAATACATGTGAAACAGTCTATTGGTAGTTTGATGTTTCACCAATAGAATTTGCAGGGTCTACTGATTCTCTTTTCTATGTGAGGCTTTATCAATTCAGAATGTTTGTGGTGGTTTCGACTTTTAAATATGGAGTAACGGCCTAGTGACCTGCCTCACATTACATGCGTGTCATTCGCAGTGTTGCTATTCGTTGAAGTACTGTGTAGAAGATTAAAATTGCGAGACGAAAACGAGAAAAAAATACCGTCAAATACTGCAAATCACCAAATGTGCTGTACTTGTGTGCATTTTTTCACCTCACTAATATTTTAAATCCGGTTAAATGTCAACACGCAACTCACAAATTAATTGAAAAAAAACTAAACGAACGTCTGTATTAGCGACGCATTATTAAAACACAGAAATAAGTGTATAAAATATCCTAATGTAGACGAATCCCATTGAAAAGGCCTTCCGATATGAACAGCATTTTGGCCAAATGCAAAATATTTTTCGCGAAAAAAATTTCGGTACTTATAAACAGCAGCAAAAATAAAAGTTCTATTCAATTGTGAATCACTGAAATTTCTGAAAGCCACTGAAAACAGTGAGAGATTGGTGAGTAGTAGATCGCAGGAATGGTTAGAAGAGCAAATCAAATCAAATCAAATATGAGCTTTTGCTTGTCACTCATTTCGCATTGCCAATTTGATACTCAGGATACTCATTCATGGGCACATCGAAGGCAACATACAAAGATTCATTTTAAACTTATTTCTATGCACATGACTATATTTTCCCTTCGAATATTTGTTCAAATACTGAATGATGACACAGCAATTGACATCGTATGGTGATCAGAACCTTTTTAAATGCGCGCAAACGTCGGATGAAAAAATGACTCATATAAATTCAGATATTGATTGTCAATTGTGCATTTTATTCTAAATTCATTTAAATATCATCATGCGAAAAAAGCAAAGCAGTTAGCCCTCTCGTAGCAAATTTATTGAAAGAGAAAAGTAGTACCATGCATGTGGATCGCCGTATTGCATCTAACCGTACACTTTTACCTCAATCAAAATGAACAAAAGAAACAAAAAAGATACGATGCACAATTGCACATTGTTCTCTCGGTTGATCAAACTGCAGTGCATTCACATTTGCCGTTGCATTTAATGATCATGTAAGGCTGGTCCCTCACATCATCATAGCTGGATTTAGATAAAATAACATGCACTGAAAGAAATCATATACAAATAGGCTTTAAAAGTCATAACTTATTCATATATGTATATATTTATGTTGATGGAAATGGTTAATTTTATTGCTTGATTTTGGGATTTCGGATTTGTGTTCATTATTTATTTTGGAGTAAGATAGCGAGCGAGCCAAGCATATTTGGCAGGAGCAATTACTATATTATTAACAGATCGAAATCTTAACACATCATTTTTTGATCCCATAGGACATATTTTTGTTGCTACATCCCAAGGAACAATTGTTAACGCAAATACATCCATTACCAAGCGTATGTAAACGGTTGAATTTGGGCCCGCATTTGGGTGTAGTTTCAGTAATTTTTAATGTCACAATGGAAGTAGAAAATATATAGACTATAGAATATAGATAGCCATCGATATCTGGTATCGATGATGTCTGGGAGACTAAGACCTCAAACAACTCCAAATAACATACTGTTACATAAATTCTTTTGAAAAATTTGCGGCTCTATTGATATTAATGAATGTTGAAGTTGACTCGGAATCGAGTTGGATACATGAGGTGTTGACGTGTGAACGCATCATGCAGCCGATGTCCAAAGAGTTCGCAATGCCCTGAAACAAAAAGAAAAAAAAACACACACACATTACTATTGCATCAATTTCAATTCAATGAATAACATACCTCTGTACAAGATCAATTTTGCAGCCGAAATGTCACGTTGCCAAACTGTCTTCAGTACTGGAGAGTCGTCAACGGGGTCTTCGGGCACAAATTCATCTGTGTACTCGATGATACCGAGTTCAGCGTCGTGAATGATTACACCTCTGCGCTCTTCAACATTGTCATCCATACCGTTTGCCGCGTTTTGTTGCCAGTTTTTACGGTAGCAAATCACCTTAGACACAAAACCACGGGGTTGTAGTCGTCGCTCTGATCGCAACTTCCGCTTGCTCTTTGCCACCACAATTTTCTCTGGTAGCTTCATTCCATCCGGCCAATCATCTTGAGCGGGCATGCACCATTCACACACCTTGACACGATCGTTCAATGTACTCAATGCAAACGGTTCGAAACATCTGGCACACAATCGTGATGATCTGGCTTCGTTCACAAATCGTATGACATTGCCTTCCATTTTCTTGAAACTCTTCACCAATTTCCGCACGCCCGGGCATCGAACATGTTTCTTGATCTTAATTGGTGAATTTGCAGGTGGTTGGGAAGCTCCAATGTTAATGATGCATCGTTTGCGATTTGCCTGTTGAGCAACAACAAAAACATTCAATTTTTTCCAAAGAAACAAAAATTCAATCGTAAATTCTTACCAGCATTGCGGCTACCTTGTCACTGATCCGATTGGACTCGATGTAATGATCAAAACTTAGACGTGTGTACTTTTTGGTTGTGTACACTGCAATGGCTTTCTTCATGATGGTCAATCGATGCCGTATGTAGTCACGTCAATTGCTTCCTTTTGGTGATGGCATTCGGTCATATCGCGCTCGGTTATTTCGATCACTCTCTTCGAACTGCCCGAAGGCACGAGTCCATCGCTCTCTCTTTTCCTTACGCACTCCTTCTCCGGTCCCATAATGATACTTCTTGCTGTTGATTGTGAAGTTCATCTGTGAGATGGAAACAAAAATCGAACAATAAAAATTAAACAATGAAATGGATTCACATGACACAATCACAATAGAATGCATTCAATCGCTAACATACCTCTTTGCCATTATGAATTCGCTCTTTGTCATTATTGATCCGTCGCCTAACGGTTGCATTCCACGTCTTCATACCCCAATCGATGCCCAATTCGTAGACATAGAAGCTATCAGAGTACCGTTTACGCACCAAACCATCTTCCACTAACTTGTCGACTACGGGTTTCTTCACTGTGTACAGAATCGATGCGGATACACCATCGCTGAGAATATGTTCGAATTTTTTGTTTGCTTTCAACACTCGATTGATTTTCTCCATGTTAAAAATCATATTGAAATAATACGCTTGATTTGATTTTGACGTGACGTCGCTTCATGAGTGTTGCCGACCATATTCATCACGCGGAATGGTACCGGTTTCGCACATCATACGATACAAAACATCAGCGTCTATTCTCACTGCCTTTCGCGTGATGACCACCAAATTCTTGATCTTTGGCAACGCAATGACTTGCACGATGTTGTCGTGGTGTTTTTCAACCCGGTTGAGGTGCGTTTCGATTTCTGATTGCATCATCAACCACATTGGCAATGATGCAAACCATGTATCTTCGTCTTTGGTGAATTTGGCGATAAAATCGTCAGCTGGTCCACGAATGTCTCGAACGTAACGCAACAATCGATCTCGTTTGGCCAAGCGATTAGCATCACCTCTTGTTGCGTCATATCGTTTGATTGCCCATGACACTGCATTTGCCACATTTCGTTCATCGTATGTATCCGGTAGGCCATTCGCTCGGTTAGTGTAGTTCTGTCTGAATGCATTTAATCTCAAGAAATACCGCAATCGTTTCTGTGCATGTGTATCCAAATTCGTCTTCACATTACGGCCATATTGTTGGAACAAATATTTCATCAAGTTGCCGAAGTAATCATTGTTTGGCCATGCGGAGCGATTCTCTGTGTCCACATTCTCAAAGCAATGCCGGAACCATGGATCCATAATGAAATTGTCTTCCTTGTAGCGCCACAACACAGCATAGAAGCAATTTTCGATGATGTGCATTCCATCGCCATCGTCGAAATATTCCCAATTGCCGGTGATGATGGCCTGTTCAGTGGCAGCTCTGAATTTGTTGAGGAATAAAAGCGACGCCAATTCAGATATTTGGGTGCATTTTATGCTGGTTTTTGTGATCCATGGCAGAACACGATCACGATATTCCGGTCGAACAATACTAGCGGCGGCCAACTTGATGGCAAAGTATGCTTGCTCCTCCTTTTGCTTGCCATCTTCAACTTTCCGCAGTTTCGGCCTATTGCCACGAATGGCATGTGCTCCTATCCTTTTTCTGCCCATTATTGAACCTTGAAAAATTAGAATGAAAACACAAAAATTACTTTAGAACGCACTAGAAATGATTTTTTGTTGCTTCTAAAATTACTTAATTTGAACGAAAAACGAAAAAAACAATCACTGTAAATCGAACAGTATTCACAACAAATGACTTGCCTTTCCAAATGCTCAGATCAATGTGAATGTGCAACCGGCATCAGTTTGACACATCAATGCTGAATTTGGTTGTGACACAAACACCGCACACCGTGATAAAATATCGAAACGCTCACGATATTTCGGCAGCAGATTTCTTCCACAGGCTACGGATCAAAACTGTAAACAAAAAAAAACACACAACAATCGATGGTTTGTTGATTTCGAAAATCACATGCACACTAGAAAGCTTCAAAAAAAAAAGTTGTCCCTCATCTGAAAAGTCCGGCCAGTTTCGAAAAATATACCTAAAAAAAAAAGGTTTTGTCCAAAAAAACGACATGGGTACCATAGAAATTGGTGAAGCAAGCCCCATATCAAAATTTTGATGACAGAGTTTTCGGAAGCTAATTCATATCGCAACATTTCGACCCAAATCATTTTTTCAGCCAATTTTCGGCAAAAAATGATGATAGGGTTTTATCTGGCTCGTCAATATCTACAACTTTTACCAAGACATCAGCCTAGGAAAAAGCATTCTGGGCCAGTTACAGTGTGAAATGACCAAAAAAAGGCAATTTTTCGGCATTTTTTACATTTTTCGCTCTACTGTTCATCTAGGCGGTGGACTTTTATTCAGTTTTTGACCCGTGTCGTGTAGCCAGAACCTGTACAAAAATTTTGGCACTTGTCAGATTGCAATTTGGATGAAATTTGGTGTCAATTGATTCAGACATAAATGAAAAATTTCTGGCCAAAATGAGCAAATCACGACTACGAGCTTCGATTTGACAAATAAAAGCAAGCGATTTCTACCTATTCTGACTTTGAACATCTAGTATGGTCCTTTACAAACATTTTAAGTACTAACACGACCAAATCCAGTGATGTTTTCACATATTTCTGGCCTCATATTCGATTTCATTCTAAAAAAATCGACTTTTGTCCAAAAAATCCTTAAGTATAGGCTTTTTTGGGATGGTGTCTTGGCGCAAAGTTATTTTTTCTCGAAAATATGGGGAGTCTTCCCAGATAAAAACTGTTAAAAGTGGCTACTTCAGGTACCTCCCGAACAAAAGTTACGTTTTTTATGCATTTTGCTATGAAAATATGATTTTTTGTTTGGGAGGTACCTTAAATAGCCACTTTTAACTGTTTTTATCTGGAAAGACTCCCCATATTTTCGTGAAAAAATAGCTTTGCGCCAAGACACTATCCCTTAAAAGCCTATATTTAGGGATTTTTTGGACAAAAGTCGATTTTTTTAGAATGAAATCGAATATGAGGCCAGAAATATGTGAAAACATCACTCGATTTGGTCGTGTCAGTACTTAAAATGTTTGTAAGGGATCATACTAGATGTTCAAAGGCACAACAGGTAGAAATCGCTTGCTTTTATTTGTCAAATCGAAGCTCATGTTTGTGATTTGCTCATTTTGGCCAGAAATTTATCATTTATGTCTGAATCAATTGACACCAAATTTCATCCAAATTGCAATCTGACAAGTGCCAAAATTTTTGTACAGGTTCTGGCTACACGACATAGGTCAAAAACTGAATAAAAGTCCACCGCCTAGATGACCAGTAGGGCGAAAAATGTAAAATATGCCAAAAAATTGCCATTTTTTTGGTCATTTCACACTGTAACTGGCCGAGAATGCCTTTTCAAGGGCTGATGTCTTGGTAGAAGTTGTAGATATTGACGAGCCAGATAAAACCCTATCATCATTTTTTGCCGAAAATTGGCTGAAAAAATGATTTGGGTCGAAATGTTGCGATATGAATTGGCTTCCGAAAACTCTGTCATCAAAATTTTGATATGGGGCTTGCTTCACCAATTTCTATGGTACCCATGTCGTTTTTTTGGACAAAACCTTTTTTTTTTTGAGGTATATTTTTCGAAACTGGCCGGACTTTTCAGATGAGGGACAACTTTTTTTTTTTGAAGCAATTTAATGCACACGGTGGTATTGTTTGGTTCGATCACTCGTTCGATGTCACAACGATAACAATTCAAATGACTTACCCTTTTTCCCTTTTGCTGGCTGTTCAATATGAATTTAGTCGAACGAAGCAAAGTTTCATATTTCATGACATGGTGAAATTGTGAACGGCGGTTTGTTCACAATAACAAACTTCAAAATGAACCAACACTTATAGCGGGAATATGCACGACATTAGTTTTGCCTGCCATCTCTGGACAATTTAAAACGTAATCGTTGAAAATCAGAAGAAATGAATTTGAAAATATACTCTCACCATTTAGTTCATTCTCTTTGGATCAATACATGAACAAAAACATGAACAATTTAGATCATAGAATTTTATGCTATTTTTGCTCCGTTGTGTGAACACTATTAATTGATACAGAATTCTTTTCTGTTTAATTTAAAATCTAACATTTTCTCGTTCCCAATATTCATACAGTTGGTTTACACAGAAATTTCAGTCGATTTTGACGGAAAAAAAGTCTAAAAACGTTACATCTTTTAACGTTAAAAATGACTAAATTGGGTTACATGATTTTTTGTTGCTACATACTAAACTTTTGACAAATGATCTACGCTTTTTATTTGCTCATTAAAGTGCGTATGCTTCAATCAATTCCATCATTTTTTTATTCATTATTTTGTAATGCTGCGCGATGGAGTTGGTCTCTCGTACCAGTGGCAAAAACGAATAAAAGAAATCTTCATTTTTTTACAGTTTGCACGACTGCCGAATTGGTTCATCGTGCTCGTGTACGTACACACTCATTTCTAATCGGTATTTTTTATCGACATATAGATGGGAAATCAATTAAATGAAATTTAATAGGAAAACAGATTGTAAAGTAATGGACTCGATATACGATATGTACGCTCGCATCTCGGATTTCGAACAAACAATGAACGAGAGCCAATTTGAAATGAATTTTCGCACTAACGAAAAAAGTACCGAATCATAATGCCATAATAAGACATCAATTCGTAGTGGATCTTTTGTTTTATATAATCATGAATACGATTTCATTTAACACAGCTGTTAGCATTCCGTTTTGTTTTCATCCGTGCCGAAAAAATTTCGCTTTCAAAATGTAACTTGCCAAACGTCCACATATTTGCTTGGCCATTTTGTCTGTGAAATGGAATTGGAATGTGTACGAATTGGAGCGTGATTCGATCGCTTTTCAGTTAATCTAATTTGGTTCACAGTCTTCGATTTAATACTATGGCATCTAAACTGTGTCAATTCATGTGGACCTATTGAATACCTACAATTTGAAGCTAATGTTTTGAATATGTTTCGTCTGTCACATGAATTGCGATTGTGAAATCAACGTTTGTTCGATCAACATATCGAATTAATAGAAGAAAAGTGAGAAGGACAATTGACATAATTATATGTTTAGAGATGATTCGATTGCATCTGGGACACTTTGTGTCGCTTGATAATACACTGCACGAAATTCAAATTACTTCGCATTGTTCTAATTGGAATAAATATATACAGGGTGTTTCATAACGCCGTACAAATCTCTCTACCACAGATTCCTTGGCTCATGGGGAGTAAAAAAGTATAGGAGCACTTTTCCGAATTCGGCCTCTTTGGACAAGTTATGGCCGCCGGCGTATTTTCGGCCAAAAATCACTATGGTCGCGGCTCTGGCTATAGCTGGGCCATTTCTGGTCACAGCTCCATTGAAGTTGGCTTATTGGAAAACTATGGAGCCCTACTAAACCATCCAATTCGAAAATAATGAAAAAAGTTGGATTGAAGGTTTAAAATTAACCCATAACGGAAATTAGGAAAAATCGATGAAAATACTGAATTATCTCAAAATAATGCGTTATTAAGGTATCGTTTTTTTATCATAAATGGAAAGAGCATAAAATTTTGAGCCGATATGCAAGTTTCCATAACCTAAGATTTTCCGTTAACCCTACCAAAAAGGGTTAAAAGGCGCAAAATGTACCCATTTTTTGACAGTTCCAAGATATTGAGGTTAGAAATCAAAAACTATTGAAGATATCGGTCTGCTTTCTTCTGAAAAGTTGTAGAGGGCGCCAATAGCAACAACATGAATTTGCAGGTTTTTCGATTTCGCCAGCAGATGGCGCTCAAATCGGTGAAATAAAGATTTCAATTTTTAGTGAATGGTTTTTGAAACGTCTGTATTGTAGTTGCTGTCAGGCCAGCTGTCAATAGAGCCGCAAAATCACAATTATCTGCAATATCAACAAAAAGTCAGAATATTCAATAAAATTTGAAATATCGTGAATAATTACGATTTTGCTAACTGTTTGAATGTTGGAATGAATTTTTCTGCATTTAACACCGATGTAGCATAAGATATGAAGACGTGTACGAAAAGTACAGCATAAATAAGAAATCATACTGACTCAACAAGAAAGATACCTTTTTCTGTGCGCCAATTTTGTATGCAGTGTTATGTGATGTTTATCCAGAAGGAAAAAAACTATCCATAGGCGATGCTGAAAAACATATGCTGTTGTACCAATGAAATTTCGATGCGATGATAAATATGCAAACATTCAAGACGGCAAAGTTAAACAAGCACATATCGTGAGCACAATAAAAGTAAAAGTACGTCGCAGGCCAACGGTTGATAAAAAAGGAAATGAGAGTGAGCACGACTGACGACAGATAAAGAAACAGAATGAAATGAAAAAATATAACAACTCAAATTGGTCAAATAATAATTTTGCGCGTAGCAAGAGAGACACAATTCTCGGCTGGCGCATTCTGCACGTACACGAACAGCGTATTAAATTAAAAGTGAATACGATATAAAGTGATGAGCAGTGGTACTTATTACTTCAATTTATGATCCTTGAGCCAATATCTGAAGTATTTTCTACTGTGTGT